ACAGGAATTCTCCACGACGGCAGGCTTTTCGCATCTAAACTGTTACACGTGATGCAAATTATCGCCAGCATCTCGGTGTATTTTGCAAGTCCTATGAGCGCGTCGCCTTGTCTCTTGCATATTCAGCTGGCTGGGAGCACAAATGAAAAGGACAGGATGTTTGAGTGGGTTGCATGCATCTTGTCACAAACAAGCAATCCATACTGTTAGATTTGTTGTGTAAAGATCCATTAAGACATAACAGACACTCATGGCGCCTTTAGAGAAGTTTCAGCACTTCACTGACACCACTGCGATGTCTTTAAAAGGCAAATGTGATCTAATGTAATATATTGAACCCACAGCAGGGCTTCAACATGCATGAATGCCACTCTACCTATTTAATATTCATATATAGGTGGCAGCAGGAGTATTACCGTACCAATGTACAGAATAATTCATTATCAAGGTTTCCCAGCTAATAATGATGTGATATACAGTGCACAAGAATCTCCAAGGGAGCCTTATTTTTTGTGCATCGTGCGGCGATGAGAGGAGAGCAGAGAGCTCCCGTGAGATAGTCGACAGACAGGGAGCGGAGATCTGCTCCAAGGGAACCAACTGTGATGTTTATAGTAATAATTTTGACAAGACTGATTTGCAGCATGCTTTATTTAATGCAGGTTTACCGCAGGAAAGAGGAGATAGGAGGAGACAGAACAGCGAGGCAGAAAGGTGTAATGAAATGCTTCATTGTTATGACTAATGCAGGAGTTGCTGCTGTCTATTGACAGAAGCCCCCATGTTTTCCTGCAGCTGCCTGAATTTTCCATATTTCATGATGTACATAACAGGGGTGCATGTTACTCTTATTCACCCTTCTGCTGTCCGTGTCCACGCTTACATTGTCACAGCAGCAGCACACAAAACTCAGCGTGTTCAGTAGCTGTATGTGAGGGTTTTCCTTGACAAGGGACATCACTTTTCCAAAGGATAGACTCACATTTTTGTTCTAGTTTATCTTCAAACAATCCTGACATACCTGTATGTATTCTGAGACAGTTTTTGGTGGTGATTCTTGCTCACAAAGAAATCCTTTCCTTCCTTTGCCCTTAATCCAAATCCTTTAACTTAATAATTAGTATTTAATCTGTCAATACAAAGTCTGACACTCCAGTATGTACATATAGTTAAATGCTGATTAAATATGCATCACTGAAATAACATCTGCAACCTCCTTAATTTGGCTCATTTTGTTTTTTCCCAAACTAGTTGATCCAAATACTGGAGTTCACAGTTCAAAATGATGGTGGTTAATAAGCTCCAGCTAATGAAGCTAATGAAAAGAATTACTGTTAATTAGTGACAGCTGATATAACCTGCCACCTGCGTGCTGCAAAGGAGGAGATTCTAGCTCAGAGCTTTTTTTACAATCGTCCTTGTTGATTAGCGTCACAGCCTAATTTATCCATGCGTTTTGCCAATGCATGCACCTGAACTCAGAGTCAAGTGCATTCAAATAATTGTGTACGTTGGCGCAAACAAGCAGAACGCTGTAGAGCCGAGGAGCAGCGGTGCGAAACTGGCAGGCTGAAGTGGAAAGAGCAGTACAGTAAAGAAAGGATTAGATTTTGATTTGCTTTTGCCAATACTGATCCATTAAGATATGCCAGATTAGCGCAGATATCGATCCCCGGAGCTGGTTGGAGGCATGTCTAATTTCAGTGCAGGATACTGTGAGCTTGAATGATTTCGCTAAAGGTGGTGTGAGGCTCAGAATTAAAGGAATCAGCCAGATATTTGCCCAGCAGTTCTCATTCTGCTCTACTATGCACAGTCTAAGCACAAAGAGGGACTTTCATTCGAGCAGCGCTGTAACTTCGGGAGATATTCTCTGGATTAATTCAGACAGCTGGAGCCTCGGTGTAGCTGCATCTGAACATTCCCACAGAACAATGACTGTCGATGTTGTTCTCCATCACTTTCAAGGGTTGTACTATGGTCAGGGTGGATGGGGGGAATAATTACAGTAACAGTAACCCTGTCAGTGCTCATATTGGCAGATAGAGTTTTTAAAAAAGTGTTAACCAAGCCTTTAACAACAGAAGACACCATTTTGTAGCATCTCATCCTCAAGATATATTTTGTGTGTAATATTAATGGTGGAATATGATATTTCATATCAAGTAAGACCCTACAAGTGCCAAATGCTGATTATTTTTTACCACTATGTGAACATATGGAATGTTTTTTTCATAAATTACACGTCTTGGTTGTTGCTGACAACACAAACGATGCAGTTTTTTGATCAGGGACAATTTTACTCAAGACACTGTTAAATTTACTGTGTACAGCAACCTACAAAGACTTCTGAAACTAGATAGTTCATCAGGTTTGAGTCTCCTGTGCATCATTTTAAAGTTACGCTCAAGGCCATGTTGCACAGTGAAATTTGAAATAAGGCCTGATGGGAAACTGGGTTTGTTGTTTGACCACATCATGGCTTGCCTGCTTTTGTTGTTTGGTTTCACAAGAACAAACGGAGCCATAAAATCGTGAACGGGTTGTAGGATTGTAATCACATGCAGCATTATAGGCCTTAAACAAATACCGCCAATGTGACGCTTCGTGCTTGTCTTCCGTTGAGAGCTAGTTTGGAATATATACCATCGACACAAGCATTTATGCAGGGCTGCTCATTACACTGTACATTGGTTCACGATGTTGTATCCATTTCCCATATTATGTTTAAGACGCGGACGAAGAAAATTAGAAAGTAAGTGATCAGAAAATGAATCCAAACATCCATTTCACATCAGTGTAAAAAAAAAGCAACGAGGTCTATAATCAAAATTCTGTAAAGCAAAGTCATTTCATTGAGAAAGCAGGAAGACAGACTAAGAGGCCAGATGCAGATAACATTCACTGAAAGGAAGAAACCAATAAAACCACTCATTGAGACGCTTTGATGTAACTAATGTCACCGCCTCACTTATGACTGCAAATCCCAGACATTAATTAAGATTACCTCTGTAAGAAATCATTTTGTTTGAAACAGTCACTCGGAGAACCTGCCCTTTTAATTAAATTCAAAGTCGGTACGAGGCGTTTTTGAGCCTTTTAAGTGTTTAATGTTAATAAAGCATCCGACCTGCAGTTGGTTCCTGTCAATATAAACCAGCAGACACGAAGCAAAGCAGCCTTGTGGTTGGAATTGAGGCTACAATTTTCTCTCGAGTGTTTCTCCGCGCTTCCACATCCGAATCTTAAGAGATTCGGCACTGGATAATACCAGTCATAAAGCAGCCCTTAGGTTTGAGGTGTTAAAACAAGCCCATAATAAGATGAATTTGCGGTGCACCATCAAAGGTAATTGTTGAGTCTGCTGTTCCATGTATCATGATGACTTCACGTCTATCGTGGCGTGGCGTTTTCATCTCTGCAGTCAGCTCCTGCAATCCCAACTCTGACAAAGCTAACTTTGATTTGACACAATTTAAATTTGCATGGATTACATAAAATGGATTACTGTTCTGGTTCTGAAGTTCCCACACAAATTTTGCAAATTTATGTTTAATTAATAATCTGAGGTGTCTGAGAGGTGAGGGATAAATCATCTCATATCATCCAGAGGTGTCTAATTTAGGAGCTGATCAGCAAATGGATTTTAGCAGCAGCCTGCATGGATATTTCTGCGGTTTCGTGCAAGACTTGTAAATGACAAATTAACATCAGTATGCCTCATTTATCTCAAGGAGACCAGAGTCTTTTTGAGTGCAGAGGAGGACCTTGCGTGAAAAAGTTTCAAGCAGATACTGTTGCTTTGCCCTGCACCTGCTAGATACTGTATGAGCAGATGGATGAATTTTAATCAGGCCTAAATCAATGCCTTTTAAAACATTTAACATGAATCACTTGCATTTTTGTATTTCATATTAAAGTAAATACTAGCACTCTTAGGTATCCCATATATGAAGGTATGTGGCTAAATCAGAACATCGATAAGAAAACATAAGGTTCAAAATATGTGAGCATTCAAGTGCATTCTCAAAATGTATTGATTATTTAGTGCAGATGATGTTTGACATACAGTTCAATAAGTCAGAGGAGAGCAGATGAATGATAATAGTGGTCAATAATACATTTTTCGTATTCAGGGGGGGGGAAAAAAGAAAAAAAAAGATTTTGGGAGACGTGCAAGTCTTGAAGAAGCATGCATGATGTGCTCATTGATCTGACAAGAAAAGCGTTGCTGCAGTACACAATGCATAATGTCAAATCCTATTAAAAACAACACAAATGCAAATCTGCAGATTTAATCCTCTTCAATAAATTCAATCTATGCAACCCATCTTGGATTATGTGCTGTTTTTCTAAATTCTGTGAAATCAGTTCAGGGACAAGCTGTGCCCTCATTTTTGGATTTCCGTAGTGTTGGACCCAGTCTCAGTGTATGCAGTGATGTGGTGTGGGAGCCCTGTAGTCTAAAGTCTGCGTGATGCAGAATGATAAAAGATGTAAAAGATACGACTGTGGCACTCAGCTGTTGCTATTAGTTTACATCTGTGAATATAAAGCTTTATCACACTTTGCAAATTGGGCCACTTAACTATGATTTAAGAGTAAAAGCAGGCTTCTTTAATAAATCCCCCTCCCCTCTCTCTTCCCTCCCTTCTGGTTTTGGCTTTTCTCTGCCTACTGCGTGATTTTGAAAAATGAGACATGGTGTGTGTGTGTGTGGAGAGCAGTGGGGTGGAGGGGGAGAGCTGGCTCTGGGTTGGTTAGAGAAGGAATCAAAATCTCATCTTCATACTGGGGATGGTACTTTAAAACTAAAAATAACAAATGGCATTTGAATAGTTGTCCTTGACGACAGTTATATCTCCACTAGCCGGGCGTTTTGAGCCGGCCGATATAGCATTATTACTAATACCATACATATTTACAACTCAGAAAAAGTACTCTTTAATGTCTCTGCCTGCTATCTGTTTCCTCACGTCTCTTTTTCTGTGTCTGTTCAGCTGGGACCACATATATCTTTGGGAAAGGAGGGGCTCTTATCACCTTCACCTGGGCCCCCAACGAGCGGCCGAGCACCCGAGCCGACCGGCTGGCCGTGGGCTTCAGCACTCAGCAGAAAGATGCCATCTTGGTGCGAGTGGAGAGCACCAGTGGGCTCGGAGACTATCTTCAACTGCACATAGTAAGGATGGAAATCTTTGGGGCTTTAAGCATAAATGTGACGGGGGGGAAAAAAAAAACTGTCTCACACTGCTGTGATGGATAAAAAACACTTAAAGGAGATTAAATATTAAACCTGTTATTCATATGGCCCTGAAGGCAATCCTATGAATATTTGTGCACATTCCTTTTCTGGGTTTGAAATGTTACCTCTCCAAAATGGGAAGATACGTAGACAATAAATGTAAGAACACAGAGAGATTAGTCTGCGAGTGTGGATTGAAGGAACCATTATGTTTGTGATCATAGGCGTAGTGTCAAATAAGGACAAAATCCTTAGATCTCACGAAAATCAGGGCGATGCGAAGTGGGCAGCTAAACAGAACAGTGCAATTAGTCCACTACGTCTGCAAACACAAGATAACAAATATTTAGATTATTTTCAACCAGAGTCTGCATAACGCCTGAGGAAATCAGTAAGCAACATTAATGAGTAAGTAGCTGGTGACTAATATTGTCACTTGGGTGAAAAAAGAGCACACACTATTATATAAAAAAAAAGACATAAATTTCTTCTCTTCATATCAAGATGAGGCTGTTACAGGTCAGACTAGTGCAACTGAAACTATGGAGTCATACGAGCATTTCCAGGAGCAATTAAGTAAATGTTTTAATCATTAAAAGGGGGTGAAAATACCTACTTAGAGTCGTGTTATCCAAAAGGTAGAAAATATCCGTCCAGATATGTTGAAGAAGGTGCACAGAAACTGTCTCATATTTTCACTCATAAAAAGCTTGCTGGTGGATGCTCCGGTCTTAATTAAAAGAAGTGAATATGACTAAACCTCTTCCCATCTATTTTTAAATTAAGTTTTAACCAGACTATGCCATTATTCTAATTTGGCACCAAAACATCACAGCTTGTATGATTCACTGATTAGCGCCATCCAAGTCCAAATATTGAGATAAAATAGGAATTAATAAATTGCGACCAAACAAAAAAGATGGAGCACACGTCATGTTTTTTTTTCTTTTTCTGGTGATAAACACATGTGGTTGGAAAAAAACAAAACAAATGACTCCTCAGCAGCTGCCAGCAAAGGTGTCTTTTCTGGAGGGAAATCAGCCTTTTTAGTATGTAGCCACAGGACAGGTGTGCCATGATGAAAACCAGAGGGGGAGATCTGTCAAACGTCTGCGAGTGGTGTAATAATTAAAATCACATCTGTTGTCAAAGCAGAGGACAAAAAAATCATAACTAGAGCTACACCCTTATGAGCAGACACTTTGTTGTAGCCTAAAAAATGCTTCCTAAAAAAAATAAAAAATCACAGATCTGGCTTTCAAAAGCGTGCAGAGCATGTAGGGGAGGTGCTCTCTTTATCCAGGAGTTACCCGATTCGTCAGGTCTGATCTTGAATTCTTTTGTGCAAAGACAACATATGGATATGAAAGAAATGAAAAACACTGATCCTAGTCTTAAAAAAATAATTTTTCACAGCATATTGCTGGTTTGTATCTCTGATGGTTGTAATTCTGTTGCCTATGAGATTAACAACACACTTTTCTGGTCAAATTCCCTATTTCACCTTGTTTTTACACATATATATACAATTTAACAACCTTTAAAGAAGAGGAGCTAAGGTAATAATTGGGATTTTACTATTTTAAAAACTGTTTTTTCACCTGAAAGCTAAATATACTTGCACTGTGTAACATTTAACAAGACACCTTGATCTGCTACACCTCCCGATTCCTAGACATGTTTAGTCTAAAAAGCCCAGACTGTCTAATTTGAATTGTATTTTCAGTATTAAAACTGTGAAACTGACCTTGCCAGTCGCTTGCAAGACTCTTGCCTGCGTGCAAAGCCAGCTGAAAAGATTTCCCCCCCCCCCTCCAGCATCTGCCAAGTCCTTTGCACCCAGACAGATTGCTTAGTTTGACACCTTATTACTGCTCAGTGGAGGAGAATCCAAAAGAGTTCAGAGGGTGTTAAGGTTGTCTTTTTAAGTTTCTCAGCTAAGCTTCATAATATCGCACCTTAGGTTGTCAAATCCTGTAATGTATCCATGTTTCTTATTAATTCCACCTTTTATCGCACCCTGTTTCTTCTCTTTAATTGCCCCGTGAAGACGAGGAAGGACTGTAATAAAAAAAAAAATAGGTGAAGACAGAGAGAAGCAGCACACCGGTCAAAATAACACTGGCCACCAGGGAGAGTTGGAAATAGTAAAGCAAACAAAAAGATATATGAGTTTTATCTGCTACAGGGATTCAGGCATTTTAGATGAGGTGCCTCAGAATAGAACCCGCTGCTTATAATCTCCCGCAGATAGCACGCTTTTTATTCAAAATTCCAATATGATGAATAATCAGAGTGGAACTTCAGAGCTGCAGACGATTGCTGCATTAAAATGGTCACGTGGTGAAACTGAAGATGTAACTTTGAACAAGCACCGGCTTCAAAGACCAATTATTCTGTACAAAAGAGACAAACCATCACCGTATTCGCTAGAGAGCACATTAGAGGGGCTAATGCTAGTTTCAAATGGTCGCGTTTTTAATGAGTGACTAAGAGATAACACAAAAAACAGAGCAGTCGTTGCGCAAAATGGTGACAATCGGAATTGTTAGGGAAGCGGTGGTGCACAGCAGAGCTTCAAACCACAGAATTGGACTCATTCAGTAGCCAGATGGGGTTTAGGTGGATGTTCCATGAGTTAATTTATTATTAACTCTAATAATGTGTCATTGAGGCTTTTTTTTTTTTTTTTCTTTTGAGAAAATTGGCTCCCAAAATTGCATTCTGAGAAGGAATGTCCTCATAAATATTCACAGAAAACTCATGGATCTGTGTATTTTAGGACACTTTAAAATCTGGTACGAATCTGGCGATGCCTGCCTATGTGGCTATTCAGTTTTATTTCAAGGCTAACAGAAGTAGAATATTCATCTTAAATGCCATCTCTTTTTCTCACAGATTATACAACTGCGATCATTTTTACAATCACAACTTGATATTTTCCTCATTCTACATAAAATAGATGCCTTTGATCATTTGAGAAATGTGTAAGAGTTCAAAGGATTATAATTCCATATTTATGACGATCTGCCGCTCCCATCAAGTAATCTCCTCCAAAAGGAAAGAGATAGACGCTGTACACTCAACCGCAGTTGTTTTCATTTACTGCATACCTTTTTATATTGTTGGAGCGATGCTGGTGAAAACACACTTTATCATTCCCCGGGGAATATGAAAGATGAGAAGTGTCTGTATTCCCAGCAGTGCTGTTGCAGGCTCCCACTCGCCTCGGAGGAGAAGTCTCCAGCAAACCTGGCCAATGCAGAGAAAGACAGTTGGCGGGTGACAAACTGAGACAGACAGATATGCTGGTCTTCTTAAAAGAATCATGATCTGTCCACTCTATGCTCTGTTTAAAAATGTATTAGGTGGAAGTGATGTCTCATTAGAGAAGAATTGTCAGTACCGTGGTCCTTCAGGGTTTTCTTTTCCGGCTAATCAAAAATAAATCCACATAACAATCCTTATAATTTTATATCCTGCTCCCCTTAAATGAAATAGAGTAGGCTGCAGCTGAGACGAATATTGAGATCCCACAAAACTCCGGTGGGAGCAGGAAATAGTCCATCAGAGCTGATGTCAAAACAGCCAGATGGGAGACGGCGCTGCTCTACAAGAAGATATGCTTTGTACCCAAATGGGCATTAAGTAGTGTCTTGCAAATAAGGAAAAAGTGAAGTGGAAAGGCCAAGCTTTTGTTTACTAAAATGAGAGTGCAGTGGTGTTGCTTTGCCAGCTGTCAAGAGGTGCTTTGGGGGCTATTTCACAAACACGCTCCAAGACTGAGTAAGCAAAATAGAAGCAACTCTTTTGTTGAAGCCATACGAAGCCCCGGGCAGGCTGCTCTGGCCCTGGAGATTTTAATTGTTGTCCAGAGAACATGGGTTGAATTTGACCTGAGGTCGCTCTGCCCTGTAGCTGCCTAATGACTACTCATCAGTTTGCTTCATCGGAAGAGTAATTAAACCACGGACAACTGACTAGCTCTGCTCTGCAGGCTAAAACATATATGCAAACAAACAATGTAATGGATACAACTTAACAGAAAATGTAAGGAATGTGAATCATGCATGTAAAAAAGGAGGTGATAATATGGCTTTTTAGCATACATTTGTATGATAAAATGTGGCTTAGTGAGGCCTAACATGCTGCTCATTCCTGCTAACCTACAGATTCGCTGACATTAATTAACTGACAGGCTCAGTGAGTAACCGTGAGTGGGTAGACATTTGTCATAAAGGGGTTTCATCCTCTTTCCGGCTTGTGTGAATTTGATTATCCTGCTGTAGCTCATGTGTCATAAATCAGTCGCACACGACAGGTTTCAGGTGATTACAGAATTCAAAGAGATAACAATCCACAGAGCTATCGACCTGCTGCTAACCTTCGGGCTCTGTTTGGAGATATGGTTCCTTTATTTAAAGTGAGCTGAAAGTCTACTTCTCAAGCTTAACATTATATTATTAATGGGACGTTCAAGGTCTCTGAGGAGACTTAACACTTCCGTACTTAACACCAACCATGTCAGCATGAATAATTATTTCAAATTCAAAAGGTTTCTCGAATGATTTTACATATGATTAGGGTTGAGAGCAAAGCACCGAGGCAGGTTTTACATCACACAATAGCAGCCGCCATCAAGGCAAGAAGAGAAGTATTTTTGACTACGTATTTGAATATTTAGTCTGCGGGTTCGTAATGCAATATTGGAGGTAGGAGAGAAAGGGAGCAATCAGTTGTATAAAATGGTGCGGAATAAGCTGTGCAACTCTGAAATCAGGAAATCCAATTGCAATGTAAGGCTGAGTGTTGAAGATATTTACATAATGGCTGTAAGGCCAGTAAATATTGTGTGCATCATGAGCCATAGAGGACCAGCAGTTTGCAGAGTTTTATTTGAATAAAACACTGCACCAGCCAATTCCACTGTTTACTTCGTCTTCGCTCCCTGGTTGAAAGCGTGATACAGTGCAAGCAGCCGCCGGAGTTAAGGGTGTTTAAATAAGAAGCTGCAGACTTTGTCCTTGATAGTGCACTGCTGAGAGACACATGTTACGAGGGTGGAATTACATATCACCTATGTTGTGCGCAACATGTTACTGTGCATGTGAGACATAAGATACAACAGGCGTTCGTTGCATAATCACTTGGCTGACATTCGATAACTGTGATGGTGCAATTTGGTTTTCTGGCTTTTATTGCCGCACCTTAACTTCAGGCTAACAGGATGTGTCCCATTTAATTTTGTAAATGCTAAATGTTAGTGTAATTTGTAGATCCAACGTAGTCAAAACCTAACCTAAGTTGAGGTAATGTGCTCCTGCATGGCTGTGTGCTCTTTCTCAGTATTTCTACATTAGCACTTTGACCTTGCGTTCCATTTAGAATGACTGCCAGACAGCGAGTCTACAAAGGCTAGATGGGCACAGAGACCCAACACACTCTGTTTCCAATGTTTCCTATTAGTGCCACCCAAAGGCTAGCTTGAGAAGCAGCTTTGACCTTTGCAGAAGGTTGGCAGGAGCAGGGAGAGGCTGACAGGGAGAGAAGTTGGTCAACCAAAAGAGAAACAGCAGGATTCTGTCAGGAGTGATCCACATCAGGAAACCTGAGCTGGCTGTTTAGGGGAAATGGCGCTGAACCCTAAAGAAAGAACTAAACATACTGTCCATGTCACAAATGATGATGCTTTTCTGCTTAAACGAGGGTTCTGGCTTGACAAGTAGATAAAAACTCCATAGTCTCCATATTTTTGTTTCAATATGAATGTTCAAATGGGACTACAGAGCCCCAAGAAAAGATGAAAGCATGTTGACTTCAAGACAAAGCTTGTGTTGTGACGTTAGAAGTAAATTAACCTTTTATATACACCCTGTTACTGACACTGTGTCTGGAAATGTCTGCATATACAAAGATTTTCCATGTTGGGTGTGTTGATGTGCATAGAGGAGTGAGGAGGACATGACAATGTGATAGATGAGCTGAAAAAATGAATGTATCCAATCAACTATAGCTATAACCATGATCAACCCCACCTCTTTGCTACTAGCCTTAGTTTTACTTCGTTTTGCTGACAATACCCAGCAGCAGTATGAAGTGGGGCAGAGGGGCCTCCAGGGTAATGCCCCGAAAGCTCTCAGGTCAGGCCCTAAGCAGCAGAGGAAGGCCTCTAAGTAGGCTTAGCCCTGACATTTATTTATTTTTAAGTAATTGCTAAATGAGTGTCCCTGTCTTGGGCTGTCTTCAAACCCACGGGAGGAGGCTTGCCTTGCATACAACTTTCTGTCGTTTGTTTAATGAGTCACATTCATTCTTTGGTGTCCGCCTGCAGGATCAAGGAAAGATCGGTGTCATCTTCAACGTGGGGACAGATGACATCACCATCGATGAGCCCGCTGTCATAGTAAATGATGGCAAGTACCATGTTGTGCGCTTCACACGCAGTGGTGGCAATGCCACTCTCCAGGTGGACAACCATCCAGTCATTGAGCGTTACCCGCCAGGTAAGACTGATGACACAAACTGTGCCGTTTTTCTGACGCATAGAGAGACAGCATGGACCATATGGATTAGCGAGAGAGGATTGCATGTCAAAAATAAATCACTGAATGAGCAGTTATGAAATATGTTTGGCAAAGAACTGATTGGCAATTTGCCCAGTTGCTTATTTTGATTCAGCTTCCCTGTCTAGTAATTTCATCAGTCTGTAAGTTATCTATTAAGTTGTTTCACTCACACAACTGAACATGTCATCCGGTATAAAAATCTAATAATCTGAAATGGATACATTTGCCTAAAGCAGTCTTTCTAAGTAAGTCTAGCAATGAAAGAGCTTTCATCAGCTGCTGTTGTATTTGCTGTGAGGTGGTTAGGATGCATCCGTGGCCCAAGTGGGGTTTTCTAAACCTTACTAAAAGATGTACTTAAGGGTGGATTCTGCATTTCTAAAGAAAAAAATGTTGAAATTGAACTATTTAGAGAATTAGCATGTGCCACATTTATCGTCTCTTTTGCTCACACGTCCCTCTTTCCATCCATCTCCCTTCCCTCTCCCTTTCCCTCTGTCCTGTGCACAAGCATGAACATGCACAGGACACACTGGACGAGTGTTGTGGATCAGTACAAGCCACTTTGTTTGTTTTCCATGTACCAACAAAGGATTTTCTTCAACTCATACACAGAACAGACAGCTAGCAGACTGTGAGGAGATGTTCACTGAATGTGACAGAAACTGTGGGATTAGAATTGCTGACTCTACCTTTAAGTATACTTATGTGGTTGGAGGACTGCACAAGCCGAATATAACATTTATTTGTTGTTATTGAACGAACCTCTGGGCATACGTTTAAAGAGACACAGCTGACTGAGGGGTAAATCTGTTGCTGATAATTCAGCTGACGAATTCTTGTTGACATTCAAAATTTTGTTGGCTCGATCCATCCACTGAACACGAACATCAAGTAAACGTCACTTTTTTCATACACACATATCACATTATATTGTATTCTGACAGTTATGTGCTCAACATTTCAATTTTATATTATGTTTTGTGTTCAAGTAAGTATATCTATCTTGATAAATTGTAGCCTGGTTGGTCGCTTTTAGGAAAATGTCAGTACATTTCTGGAATTAGATATTAAATGTTGACAGGATCCGCGTAAGCACAAAGGTACACAGACCGAAGAGGGGAAAAGGGCTTAAAACTCACTAATGCATGTGCGAATGTGTTTAACCCTCTGAGCCACAAGCATTTTTTGCTCCTGTCACATTTTTACTCAGCGTGGGCTCATTTTTCACTGCAGTATAAAGCACCTCAATGGAAACAGCACCACCACAGCTGGAAGTAGAGCTCAAAAATGTCTTCTGTGCTGTGTGACAGACTAATAATGCCATAAATCACAAAAGACATACAATGAAAGAAAAGAAGAAGGAATTCTTTATTGTAATTGTTATATATTTATTTAACTTCTTTAAAAAAAAAAAAACTGGAATTAACATGTTAAATATTTTTCTATACTAGAAAAGAAACAGCATCTTGACATACCATAGATGGTGGAATCCCGCATCACGGACGAGCAGTTCAAAGACCGTCAGAATGTTGTATTTTCAAAAATTCTTTCTATTGCTACAGTCTCTGGCTCTGATAAATAGTTGAATTTGGACATTTTTTTATGAGATAGTATGCCTTTCAAACCTCCTGGCAGGTTTTGGGGTTCAGAGGGTTAATATACGCATAAACCTCCTACAAAAAATAAATACATTTTCAAACAGCATACATAATGCGATCATGACCTCATGTGCTTTAACCTGTTCAAAACCAATCAACCAGTTAACCTTATTCGGAACAGGTGCACCAGCTGGCTCGGCGGGAGGAAACCAAGTCCCTTCTCTGCCTCCAGCTGGTGCTCCAGGCTCACACGCATATGCCGCAGTTGTACATAAATCAAAGCAGTATAATGGAGACGGCCGCGCGCGCACCTTTCTGTCAGCTTCCACTCGGTAATCAGTGGATTTGAATCATTTCAAATGGTAAATGACTGAAGTGCATCGCAGCAATCATAAATAAGGGTGCTCGTTGCTGCTGTAAAGAGAGTGTACACCACATAGGCGATAATTACGAGTATAATGAAACATTACTGATTGTTTTTGGCTTTAAATGGAAATCAACAGCATGGGGTAAGGTAAAATAAGCGACGTTATTTACATTTGTTAGAGGAAAGATGTAGACACACCTCCTGCAGTTCTCTGAGGGTTCAATAAATGATCACTTATTTTGAAATCTGCTCCATATTAAATCAAACTGTAAAAACACTTGTCTAGGTAAGCTTCGTTTTAACTGTCATGTACTCTGCCTCCTTCCTCATGTTGCTCAGTAATCCTAATCCTATTTATTCATTCATTACTATTTCATGTTCAACAACATAGCTTACTTTGAACAGCTGCTATGTTTTATTCATTTCTAGCTATTTATTTATATTTTTATTTATTATATGCTGGTTAAACATGTTTGAAAATAATCTTTACTGACACACGCTTATACACAGAACAGGACACCTTGCACATGTGTTCATTTATAAGCAACGTCAACAAGAATTTACCGGTTGTAAAGTTTGTGACACATCACAGCTGATGAATAGAAACTCTTCAGTGCTGGACTTAATTAGGGATATTTGTCGCACTAATATTAACTGGACTCTGCTGTTGTCCGGAAACAAGTCACACTGTTGTTATCATATATTTCTTGTTGCGGTTTGACTTTGATTTATCACTGTTTTGTGTTTGCATGTGTTTAACAGAGAGCTGAAGTCCAGTCAGCTTCTGGCCTATTAGCCCTGATTTCCATCTTTTCAAAAACTGGAAATGTGATGTTTGTTCTCTGCTGGAGTGCTAAAAAAGTGTCAAAATCATGCATAAATACATAACCGCAATTGGTTATTTTTTTTGCAGAATTTAACCATTCCCCATGACTATTTGATGTTGCCATCAGTATGTCATGGGAGCTACAGTTAAAACACGGTATGTTTATTACACACTGTGTTATAAAGACATAGTGTGGAACTGAAGTGAGATGAGACTTCGGCTCTCTGTCTCAGGTCAAATTCAAAGTCTAATGTCTGTTTTTTGCTCTAACTGCAGATTGAATATTGCTGTCGAAACTGTTTTCTTGATTGTCTTTGTTGAATATTTCATGTGTTTCTTGTGTTAATCTGAATTAACCTCTATTGTATACGGTACATAAAATTATTTCTGCTGTAATTGATATTTATTGAAGACTATTCTTTGCTAAAAACATTAGCTAAATAACTCTAACTAGTGTAGCACATTATAAATAGCCTAAACAGTACTCTAATTAGCAATAACACTGTAATAACTAGATAACACTAAGTAAAGCACAAGTTTCTTTTAACTCACAGCTGGGTTAAAATTGATAACTTGTTAAACCTGTTAGCCGTTATAACATTGTTTCTAACCATGTGATCTTTCAGCTTGCAGACTTTAACCTTTAATCTGTCTCTCCAAATTCTTTGAAGGACACTATGATAATGAGCGACTGGCTATTGCTAGACAAAGAATGCCATACAGACTTGGTCGGGTAGTTGACGAGTGGCTACTCGATAAAGGTAAAAATTAATTGATTAATTAATTAACCCTTGAAATAACCACTAAATAACCTTCCCCCATGAGAGGTGCAGTGCCAGAAGACAAGGGTGACAAGGATGGCGCTGTGTATTTTCCGTTTTAATTGGAAGCTTCAATTGGCTGTGGATTTTGACGGCCACCGTGTAGGTTCAAGTGGAAAAATAAGTGTGAAAGCAAAAGGATTCTTGCCATTTATTTTTGTCACCCTTACACCTTGTGGAAAATCTGCACCTTAACAAAGATTTTAAACTAAATTAACTAAACGCACATAACCCTTGTCTAACCCTCTACCATCCCTCTTAACCACTGTGTGTAATTAGATGCTGTGTGTAATTATTCTACGTAAAATCCATTAAAATGCTGTGTAACATTTTCAGTGAAACTAACATGTGACATAACCTGAGCGAGGCTCGCTCCCTGTTAATAACTGAACATTTTAAACCGTAATGCCTGGATGTGATCCCACTAGTGAACTTCTTCTCCCTCTTTCTTGTTCCTTGTAACCTTGCATTGCCTTGGCGTTGTACTACAACCCCCATGTCAGACTTCCAAGCTCAAGTTTTTCGCTGCAACAAAACAGCTCTGACAGGCTGTTAAAGCAGATCACTGTTTGCAGCCATTAACTTTGCTAATAAGTATTCTCCTGAGATGAGCCCATTACTGCAGTCCTCCTCTGATGTAACACTGCTTATCAGTGAAGCTGCTGACAATGGTGCTGTTAGATATCATTGCCCCTTTCAGGAGGTGAAACAATTGGACTAGGGGGAACCCAGAGCTAAGCATGTTTTAATGGCCTAATGGCTGATAAAGTCAGAAGGAGGAGGGAGTTTAACTTTTACTGTCATTTAGCTGTACACAGACTGCCAATTTAATAATTCTCTGTAAAAAAAAAAAAGAAAAAAAAAAGAAGAAGAAGCCATTAGATGCGCATCCTTGCACCATCTATTTTAGAGCTAAGACATAAATAACTATCCTGGAAAAACATCTGGTCTGTCCCCGCAGACAGTTTGCTAATTTAATGTGTGATATTTCAAAACCTCTGCCTTAACAAAACACTTAAATAGACACCTAAACAGGCCTCCTGTTGTAACCTGCATGTGTGAAGTCAAAATTATAAACCTGCTGCTAACTAACCCTCCCTATAACATCTAAATCAACCTTTAAACTAATTTGTCTATAATCACTAAATCCACCTGGTTCAAATGATGCTCCTGTGCAAAATCTCCCATATGACCTCTCTGTGTCTGCTCTGCCATTCTCTCCTCCTTTTTTTTCCCTCCCACCTTTTCTTTCTCTGTGTCTCTGTCTAACTTTAGGGAGACAGTTGACCATCTTTAACAGCCAGGCGGCCATTAAAATTGGCGGTCATGACAAGGGTCGGCCCTTCCAGGGTCAGATTTCAGGGCTCTACTACAACGGCCTCCAGGTGCTCAAACTGGCAGCAGAAAATGATCCCAGCGTGCAGGTGGAGGGGAACCTGCGCCTGGTCGGAGACTCGCTCTCCGTGCTGACCACCGACACCACCTCCGCCACTCCGCTGGCGGTGTCCGATATGTCCACCACCATCATGGAGACCACCACCACGATGGCTACCACCACCACCCGCAGGCAGCGCTCACCCAGCTTGAGGGAGAGCATCTCAAAGGTCAGGGAATTTAAAGGAATATGTGGGGAGACTTGGATGTTTGCTTGCTGAGAGTTAATTGGCTTGTTACTTGGATGAAGGATGTTTTTAATTTTCCCAAGAGGTAAAAGTGATTTTAAAATAGTGCAATTACAGAGGTACATTGTTTTAACTAAGTATGTTTGTAGCGATGGAATGCTTTGTGTCTTTTTTTTTTTCAAGACTTTTAATTGCTTCCCAAAGTATATTTCACATTTCTGAGAATTTATATTGATGTTCTATTTCCTTTAAATATTGAAAATGTGTCTGTGAATTGTGCAGACTCAAGGATGAGCAAAACCGATTGCAAGTTGTACTTTAATAATATATTTCACAGCATTCTGAATTGTCTCAGCCAACATTATTGGTTTTTTAATCAAAATTATGAATGGTACAAAACCAAAACTGAATGATACTTTCAGTTTCTTTACATGTACCTTGCCAAAACTAATTTAACGCCCAGACTAACCAAAAAAAAGAGAGCTACAGGCAGCTTCTCTTCTATTATTAGTCATGTACGGGCATAAAATAACTCACCTGGATTCTTCACACTTGTTCAATCCCAGTGTCATTTGTCACTTTCTGCTCATAGTTGGAGGGTTTTTTTTTCCATTAATCTTGTGCAGTCTGAAGTTTAAACGTGTCAGTCTGTGCAAATAAAAGAACACAGTCACACAACCAGGGACAATCAGACAGAACGTTTGACTCTTCGGTTCCTCTCTACAGTTGCAGCGGGCGTGGCATTCAGCTGTAGAATAATAACCCTAGTTCATTCATTAAAACTTAAAACTTTTTTTTTTGAAGTAAAATAACACCAACGTTTAAATTGGCTTCTTTTTCTGATTTTGAGGAGCTGAACCTCGGAGGAAGATGAACTCTCTGAGCTCTTGCTTTCTGAATATGAACGCTCTCTAGGAGGAAATGTATTCTTTTTTCTTTAATTGGTAATCAAGACAGAAGTTGCTGTTGAAGCCTGAAAGAAAATAAAAAAAGTAAAAAAGCTCCACATATAAGTACAATTACCTCTCTAGACATTTAACACAAAATCTGTATCAACTTGCTTCTAACTGAAACATCCACAATCCACTGTGGACTCTACTGCAGGGAAATCATTAGAATCATGTATGAATTACATGAATTGCACCCATATGTAAATGTTATTTAAAAATATTTACACATACACTAAATGGAAGGTGGTCCAGTGTGTCTGACTTCAAATTCACATATAACTTCCTTTATTTCCAAATGTAAGTACAACAATAACATTCATATGTTGAACGACTGCAATTATTTTAAAACGTGAGCACATTTTTACGCATTGAGGCGTCACAATACTTCATGTGAACATTAACAATGACTGTTTGAACTGAGTTGATTTTTAATCCAAAAGCTGAAAACCAAATTTTGAAAAATTTCATTTTAACCCTTTTTTTTTTAAAACAGACTGTGGCTCCTGCAAACAGCAAATGTTTGAAGACGTGCTTAAAAGAGATTTGGGTGAAATATAATTTGAAGGTTATAATTGGTAAAACTGGCTGATGGAACAGCACGCCGCACATGATGCATTCACACGCCATCATAAGTTGAAAATCTGATGTGTCAGGCTGATAAATTATACAATCTTTTTTTAGACAACATGTCTTTCAAACCTGCTGGCAGGTTTTGGTTGTCAGCAGGTTAATAAAACCCCACCACCTCTCCTCTTAAAACTGCATTTGTCAGTACGTTTCTATTTCAGTTTCCCTAAAATTACCTGCTATATATATTCAATTTATCCCGGTAAGTCCATTAGTAAGCCATCTATTCCAATCCTCTCTCCACTCAGAGTCCACTGTGCATCCTAAAATCTAATTTAGGCATATTAAAGATCTGTTTGAGATTGTGAGGGTCCTTTGTGTTTTGTGCAATATACAAAATATTTATAACAAATAATCGTACAAGACCAAATTATGTCAAATTAAATGGAAACATTGGAACAGCACTTAGTCTACTGAGAATCCCCATCAGTAATATTTTTACTTTGTTTGTTCATACATAAAGTCTGCCACAGGGGTACAGAATAAAAAGCAGCTGCATATGGGCTCATGTCGAACTTGTAGTCTTAGTAGTTTTGCTCCAAGCAAAAACAGTAATGTGGTACACTGCTGCATACTGCAGGTTTTCATCAAATAGGAAAGTCAGTCTGAAAACACAATCATAAAAAAAAGTGACTGCAAATCTCGATGATGGAAATGTGTATGCTGTGATTTATTTTCTTCTCTTATTTTCTTTCAGCCTCAGAACTCCGATGATATTTTGGTGGCATCAGCTGAGTGTCCAAGTGATGATGAGGACCTGGAAGAGTGTGAGCCAGGAACAGGTGGGTCAGCCGTGGCCAAAAAAAAGATGATAGCAGAGCGCCTTTCTAACTACAAGTCATGTTGTTTTTAACCGAGCATTGTTGATGAAATGCACCATCATTTGGAAAAAAAATAAAAAATCCATTCTCTCTTCTCTGTAAGATGTTTCTACCGCTATCTTGCACTCATTTATTCAGGCATTCTGTTAGCCAGCTGTCCTCCTTTGGATAGTTGTTAAAGAATCAACGAGAGACCATCTTGCAATGGGCTCACACCACCCGTAACACCTACCAACATGCTGATGCTCCGACCTCAGTAGTCATCACTTCATTATCAGATGTGCACTCAGTATTAATGGGTCAGACCACGCCCATCTTCGAACTTCATTTTGATCTCAGCAACACACCTGTAAAGTCATATGTCTGCATCGTGACGCTGTCATGTTGACTAAATCTGTCCATAACAGCTGCCAAACTGGTCAAAACCATTTTGCCGTGATGACACGTGACACTATCACGGCTGGCAACTTGCGTGAATTTCTACATCCATCTTTATCTCACGAAATTGGATCAAAGACTGTCTTTGTGGAGTGTACTGCAGTCATTAAGAGTGAATGGCTGTAGAAGAGGCTTGTGACGGAAACAAGCTGTGGAACTTAAGAATGAGTCTGCCCTTATTATTGGTGCCTCAATTATTAATATGACCTTATCAGAATTGTTTGTTGCTGGCTCAGGCTCAAGTGTGACTCAACTAATGATGAAAGAGAACCTAGTGGCCATAAATATCTGTTTAACTGCAGACTGAAATATTCCTCCACAACCAGGAGACATTCTGACCGAAGAGACAGATCAAAGATACATATTTACATAGTATATATATAAATATATAGGAGAGTATATTATGTGCTGAGGAATCTATATCTAATGATTAAAAATATTCATGAGACATTGTTTGCTTTCAGCAGGCCGCGGTATTATGTGTGTGATTCCTTTATACAATAACCTGTCTGCTCTCTTGTCATCCCCTAACCTCAGCCTACAGAAGTGCATACAGCAGCATGGCAATTTCATTTACTGCTCTTTTGTTTATTATGTGCTCTTCATTCTGCTGCCGCCTCTCAAGGGTCATCTTGTCTGTTTGTGTCTGCATGTGAGCTCCTCTATGTTTTTTGCTGTATTATATTTTGAAATTGCGCACACCCACACATCGACTGCATATGAAAATTCAGAGCTGCATACCTTCAAGACAGCATCATGACGGGTTTTAATTAGGTTTTTCTCTATTTGTGCCAAACGTTGATGTAAATAACCTTGTATTATAGAAATCGGCATGATATGTGCCGTCACTATAAATAATATCACTGATAAGCCAGTTAATATTAGTCTAATTCCTCAGCAATAATCTGCATAATGAGCAGATTGTGCCTCCACCTTAATGAGCACAACTGTTCAGCCAGAATTTTTCGGTTTTAATGTTGTTCTAATTTAGGATCCCCTACCTTTTCTGTTTCCTTTCTAGGAGGTGAATTAGTGTTGCCTATAATAACAGTGGATTCCCTTGAGCCCCCATCCATCGCCACCCGTTACCCCGTCATCCCTCCTCCTCCCACCCTCCTCTCCCCACTTGAAACCACCAAAGAGTCCCTGATACTCCCTCCTCACCCTTCCTGCCCCCCGGACCAGGAGGACTGCGGTGACCCTGTGGAGGTTTCGGCCTTCGGCTCTGGGGAGATGACGGAATCCGATGACGAGGACTTTTACAATAATAACTCCCCCATGGTCACTGACAGGACAGTCCTTCCTCCACCTCCCGCCGCCGGTGAGGGTGGAGTCCAGAAACCCCGCCCCCTACCTCCTTTTGTTCCCACCACCAACCCCGACCAGCTCCACATTCCCGCAGGCAAAATGAACACCCGTGACCAGGTGCTTCTGCCCCCTGCTCCTCCATCATCCCGAAACACACCAGGACTAACTTACCCACCCAATTTTCCCCATGTGCCCACAGCCAACCCCACAGCCCCCGACGAAAAGAGCCAGCCCGGTGCCGTGGAGGTGATCAGGGAGTCCAGTAGCACCACGGGGATGGTGGTTGGTATCGTGGCTGCTGCTGCTCTCTGCATTCTTATCCTCCTCTATGCCATGTACAAGTACCGGAACCGGGATGAGGGCTCCTACCAGACAGACCAGAGCCACAATTTTGCCAACAACTCCACTGTGGAGGGCAACGGAGCAGTGGTCAAGGACAAAAGCACAGCAACGGCCTCTGTGGCAAAGGCCATCACAAAGGGCAAAAAGAACAAGGACAAAGAATACTACGTCTGAGAATGGAGAAGGAGAGTAGGCAAGTGTGGACTGAGACAAGAGGGTGAGAGAGGATGCTTTCGTTTCGCACCCCTGTTTTGTCAGGTCGACTATCAGACAAATTTCACAGGCCACCAAAAGAAACAACTGCACAAAGCAACTGTATCTTGCTTTTACATCTTTTCTCAAAAATCAAGGTTGCCCAGCTCCTATTAGTGGTAAATTCGTATATACGGCACAAGATTTGACTCATCCTCTGTGTCACAATGTGCACTCAGTCTGCATCCACCGATTCTTTATTAGTGTGTCATTTTTTTTATGTTTTTAATGAGCTAGGAAGAGGCATATCCACTTTGGCTTTGTATATAGCATGGATATGGCACAGTGAAGAGTGCTGAGAACATCCGGTTTCTTTGTACTTCTTTGTAATGCTCTATCTCAAGTCTCAATGTCTACATGCTGATATATGAGGCAGAGCGGGCCACTTATTGAATTTTTATGGCAGGTGAGCAGAGAGCACCCCAGTCATCCTGACTACACTCAAAGAGAGAGCTTTTATTTGGATAAGACATCATCTCTGCAGCCTCCATGTCGTCTCATGTGGTTTTAAAACTCCCCAATCACTCTGCCTCTGTCCACAAGAGATGGTATTATTGTACGTTGCTGATGGAGTATCATAAATGAAGCAAGATATTTAGCTGTCCTGGTGAAAAATACCGCATCTTAATAGGATTATTCAATCACTTAACATACTCCGGTCAGTGAACCTTATCGTATGATGGATCAGAAACACTATCTATGTGAGATTTCACAGTCGATGTGCCATGCCATTCCAAGTAGGGATAATTGTGAACAAGTCAGTCCACACCAGTGAAGGTATTTCTCTGTAAACACTGCTTGTATGTACATATAGAGGTTAGCAGATCGGAAAAAGCATTGTGAAACGCAGGGAAGGTATGAAGAAGAATAAACATCCAAGACGCTCGGCCCCCTTCACAGCTTTTCATGACGACGTCAAAACTGTCACGGCCCAAACTTCACAGGAATTTTCAGGAACACAGAATCACACGCGAGGAAGTTTTTCTGACCGCCTCTTGGAAAGAGAGAACCGACGCACCTCACCACCAGAGGCTGGCTCACTCATGATCTTTTCTTTCCTCTAAACTGTCATGGGATAATTCAGAAGCACACAGAAAATGTAAACATATCTTTGAGACATAGGTATTCCTTGTAAAGCAGCCAAACATGTATTGTTTTTTCTATCAGTTATTAAAAGACTATTCTATGAGATGAATAATTGAAGATTTGTGAATTGTATTGATATTTCTCTGATATTTCGATGTATCTTGTTACCACTCCTCTTAACACATTACATTTTAGATTGCCTTTGACTTAAAATCCGGACAAAAAGCACACTTTCCTCTGATAGCTGCAAATATCTTTTTTATTTTAACTTTATTTTTGTTTACAGTTCAGATAATGCAGAGAAAACACAAGGTTGGAACAAACAAATGTTTGGTTTTGTTGCATTGTGCATTTTATATGTGCTGAATCTGTTACTCAATGGATCTGATAATATAAAGCCATTTTCTCTGTTGAGTTATTTATTCATGCTCTGTGATTTCCTGTTATTTTTTATGAAAGTGCCATTCAACGTGAGCTGCTCAGCGCTCAGAAAATATACCATTCCTCACTCATTGCTATTGTATAGTGTTCATGTGAAATGGATCTTAATATGTGTACAGAACGTGGATAAAGATGAAATACACTTGATTATATACTTTGTACACACCTGTGTTGTGTATTGCTTCTTATAGAGTCACAAGGACAATGCACTTTATTCGGCTTTTATTCTTGGATACAAATATTACAGATGTGCGCACTGTTTCTAGGGCAGAACATAAAGTCAACGAAAAAAAATCAAGATTCCAGGTGACAATTATGGTATATATCAAAGTATATTATGTACGTACTGATTCCTCATGATTAAGCTTTGGAACAAATGAATCTTTTGGGTCAGGAGAAGCAAAATAAATTCCCAATGATGTAATCCTGCAAAGGCCATTTTGCTAACAAGATAAGTTGACATGTTTAACATGAAGAAACGGCATTTCACACAAATTGCAGGTCATGAAATGTGTTAAAAATGTGTCTTACACTTGAGTTTCATCATCATTTTCTCTCCCTTCCCTCTCTCTTGCTCACGCTCTCACTTTTGGATGCTGCGTAGTTCTGGTGTGTTAGTAATGCCTGGATGTCCATTATGTATTATGAAACAAAGCGGGGTTTTTTTTGTATACCTGACACTGTTGCTGCTGCTGTCTAGTCCAGGTTTCAATTGAAAAAGAAAAGCTGGACTTCAGTAAGGTGGATTTTGACATTTAAAGTCTAAATATTCCAAAACCAGTTGACCTCATGTTTGGGATACTACAGTATGATAGGATCTCACTTGTGGCCTTTTTTTTTGCAAGGGATATCTCAAGCGTTCACACTAGAAAGCCTGTGTAACAAACCGGTGGCTGCATATCTACCAGACAGGGAATGTTTTAACAAAAGATGCTATCTTATTTAAATATGACAAATGAGGGCGCTTGAGTTTTAGGAGGTTGACCCATATTGCGGGTCTAAGTGTCTGGATATCTCTGTGGCTGCTGCACCAATTATGGTCTTTTTTTTATTTCAAGTCCTACAGATTTATGCAAGAAGAGTATTCTTTTATTATGCAGAGCAAGTGTACAAGCCATATCAGCCGCAGCAGAAATCACACTAATAATGGCACTGACACGGCTCTATAAATTCAGCCTACAGTGCAGGAATCCATTTTCAAGTGATTGTTGTCTAGTAAATGTAAAACTATTATTTTTTCAGTAGATGTTATGTGAAATGTACAACACACAAATCCACGGCACGATATATCCAATAGCATTAATGTCATTTCATCAGCCCTGACCTTCTGAATATCTTAGGTTAAAAAAAAGTAAATCTTAAACTATGTCATAAATAAGAGCAATAATTTTTTGTACTCTTTACAGCTGCAGCATGGTTTGTGTTGTTTGACTACCCCCTGCTGAGAGCACAAGGAAGTGTAAGATGGAGGCGGCGTCACTGTTGTGATGTAAGGCTATAGTTGTCTGCGCTAAAGCAGCCATCAATTTTACTCGAGGAAGTTTATCACTAAAGACAAGAATTTAGAGAGACTGTATTTCAAGCCAGCAGGTTCACCTGTCCTGTTAGCCTCTTTGTGCTGAGACTGATGGGAGTAATCCTGTGGGCTAAAGGAGGTGTGGTGTCAGTGCAGGTCTAGTGCAGGCGAGGTCTGATCTGTGCTGACAGTGGGTATCAAGCAGGGTGGCTACAGCGTACGATAAGCCACTCCTGAGCGCTGCTGAGATGTCACAAGGTTAATTCAACAAACCAGCCATGACAATAGAAGCAGATGACAACTGCTAGGTCGTACTCCGACCAACTGCTGTTCATACAAGCAAGGTTTTCTTCATATTGTAATAGTTTATCTTTATTTTTTGAGATTATTGTATCGCTAAATTCCATTTGCAAAAAACAAGAATAAAAATAGCAAAGGTTTAAGGTTTAAGATATTATTGTTGAGTCTAAGCTAGAGATGTGTACGTAAAATTGTAAGTATGGAAAAAGTATTCTTTAAATTAAAAATGGCATTTAAATTACATTCTCTGCACATTCAGAAACAACCTTCCAAAATCATGAAACCTTGATTGTAAAATTGCATACAGGTGTTTTCTGTCAAAATTTATTAGAACTGCATTTTTCTTTTTTCTTTTTTTTTTTTTTAAATGTTTTTCATGGTCTCGCTTTGGATTTTGACTCGTGACCTTTACCCATGACAGCTTGTTCAGTCCAAGGAGAGCACTGTCGACTTCCCACAGCCATGATGTTACCTCAGGGACTGCTTTCTTTCACACACCTCTGAGAGTCTCTTCAAGAAAAAAAGAGAAATGGTAGGACATCTGTTTTAAAATATTCACAGCAGACTGGAGTGAGGGAAATTTTGATTTCCTTACAAGATATTGTAAGTGTGTTACATGTCTTTAAAATATTACATTTTTTAAATGACAACTAGACATTAATGTGTGTTTGTGGCTCACTGCACAAGGCTTTGGGTTGAGGCTCAGGAGGGTCAAGCATCAGCATTGCCAAGCTGCCTTGAGTAAGGCCCTTATCTCTATCTCCAGCAGGAGTGCGGTAGTGTGGCTGACCCTGCCCTGCACTCTGACCCCATCTTCCTAACAAGCTGGGATATGTGACAGGCCTTCATACTGTTGTACTATGTGCACTAACAATAAAGTTGCATTTTAATTTTAGTAGATAAAAACCTAATGAGGCTGGAAATGCATATTAAACCAAAAACATAAAAGCAGCATGTAATGTCCTAATAAAGTCTATTCATTCTTTCTGTCATAGGGGAATAACTATTTGTTGTTTCTATATAATTTCTACAAGAGAATGGACATAAAACAACAATGTAGGCATTATTTCATAAATGATAATAGGCAGATTGAGAGTGGTATGAAAACCAGAAATCACACAGGAGGCAAACAACGGCGTTGCACCGAGTTAATGATCCTGTCAATGCTGCTTGGGAAATGTTGTCCCACTCTTCCTGAAAGGCTTGGTGAAGTTTGTGGACATTTTGAGGAAGAAGATTACGTTGTCGGACATTTCCATCCAGCTTTCCAGAGCAATGGTGGACATTTAAGTACCTGGCTACAGCTCTACCTGACATGTCAACATCCAGCAGCCAGCAGCCTGTTCTCGTCTTTCTCACATCATCTGTGGCATCGTGTGATTTGAATAAAGTTGCATTTTAAGGCATATTTTTATATTCACTGGTCAAAGGAGTTTCTGTGTTCTGATCACGCTATCTAATCGTAGCCCTTTGAAGCATAACCTGACCAAGGTGTGAAATAACTCAGTGGTAACAGAAATATGTTCAACCAATTCTCTAACTCAGCAAAGATTTATTTAGAACCTGGGTTTTTATATTTCTTCAGTGTATAAAGTATAGAATATTACCAATGTTTTAATTTTTTTTTTTCTGTTGTAAAAGAGAAAGAAGGAAGAGAGAATAAGAAAGAGAGAGAGAGGGAGATCAATGTCTCCAGCATTACAAATATTCAAAAAGAAATGAAATAAATTAAATTACATTTTGAAAAAC